AAAAAAGGTATGTATGTCTCACTTCATTTCTTATACTACAATCTTCTCTGTTAGAATTCCTACAACAAATGTCACATTTCAAATTTCACATCATCAGTATTATAACTGGATTTACGGAACTTAAATACTATAGCAAAGCACGGGTATCAGGCTAGTTAGATATATTTTAAAAATCACATCGTCAAGTCAGGCTTGGTTGTGCTTCTGTTTCTCGACTTTTGGTCTAGGAACTCTGGCAGCATTTTTTAAACTCTGACAGAACATAAGTAATAAAGCTGTACAATGGTGTACCAAAATTTTAATTCAAGACTCAGATATACGTCTACCAGATCTTTCATCTAAGTTAAGATGCACACTTATAAACTTGTATTACTTTTAACTATGCAATGCGCCAGCAGCAGGGCAGCCCACTTGAAGGAGGCTCATGATGACCCACAAACATAAAGCACACAGATTGGCAGTAGGTTTCTCCCTCCTCTGTTTATTCTTCACTAGAACCCAGTACAGATGACCCCTCCCCTCCCCAGAAATTGACTTACTGCAGAGTGAGAGAGGGTGGATACACACATGCTGGCTTCACCCCTTGCTACTGTTTGGTTGTCTGCAGAATGTGACCACACAGAGGAAGTGGACATGTGTACACCCCCTCCCTGTGATCAGCAACACTACTTTCAAAACATTGCTGATTAAAGGGAAGGGGTGTACATATGACCACTTCCTCCACACAATCACACTAGGCAGACAACCAGGCAACTGCACAAAGGCAGGGTGTTGGGGCTAATGAGCTCATGCCTGCTTTCCCTCTCTGAGCAGTAAGTGTCATCTGTACCAGGCTTAAAATGTTGAGACATCTTTCACTCAGATTGCCTGGTTCCAGTCCAATGTTACAGTAAAACAAATTTCTGAAACATAGATCAACAATTGTAAACAATTCATTCCTAGATGTTCCCTTTCTCACCCAAATGCATTCACAATGACAAAGGATGCATATTAATATGCACAAAGTATGTGACACTGCCTTCTGTGGAAAATGCAATTCATTCCCCTTCCTAGAGAAGGTGTTACCTACTGTGGCAATGAAGATATATTGTTGATGGCATTTGGGGGAAAGAAACATCTCATATTACTTATCAACAAGTTCTCTACTCAACAAACATGGGACTGACAAGATTCTCATATCTAGTCCAGCCTCTGAGCTGCTTTTTATTACACTGAAAAACAAAGAGACACTTTTAGGAATCACACCCTTGTCAAAAGAGCCATGAAAACACAATCCTTGAACAGGAGGTATAGCACGCCCATCTGTGCCAGAAGGACTGCATTCATCCTCCAGAGATTTAAGTTGTGCTTATTATTTTAAATTGAAAATTCCACTTGTCTCTTAAATAAGTAATTCACAAAGTCTTTCTTAAAACAGGCAGAACACTATGAGCAAAAAACAAGTTGAAGCTTTTATAAACTATTGCATGGTAACAAGCACAAATGTTATGAAAACTTTCATTGTTATTTGCATTTATAACTGCATTGAAAGAGCCAAAGCATACAGATTTATAAATAACCTCCACATTACATTCTGAAGATCACAGTCTTGTGAATGATTACGTGCAAATAAACTTTATAAATTTCAGTGGGATTTAAGGGCCACTTCACATGAAATGGCTACTCTAGCATGTACTACTGCAGGCAAGATTGTAGCCAAACCTTCATTTACTAAATATATGGGCTAATTTTCTGAATAAATCATTTTTAAAGTAACAGCATCACAAGAAGGTGCCTGCCTATAAGTAGTGAACATACAATTCAATGATGTCTACTTTCATTTTAATTAAGTTCTACTACTATAATAAAAGTAATTTGTGAAAAGCTTCTGCATTTTCTCTGCCAAGACATACAGTTCAAAGAGTTTGGCATAGCTGAAGTCGATGGCAGATGTTAAAAAATGCCTAAGATATGATATATTCATAAGCTGACTTCAGTGAGACTTCTGCTGCAGAAGTGATTTTAGGTCACCGTCCTAATAAACACATTAAATGAAAGCCCCTTACACTTACTTGCAGTGTTTGCTTTGTATGCATCACAGTTCCTATTCCACAGAATGGTTAGGAACCTGGAAGACTAGTATCAGGAATGTATTGGAATTATTTCTATATGAAGAGGTGTAGGCACTTATTGAGTGTCATACTGATGTTCTGACTATGTTTAAAGCAATCAAGAGGAAGTCACTTATCCACGGCTATTCTCCACATGCTTGCACACGGGGAAGCCAATTAACAGAACCAGGAAATGTTGGCAACATGGCAGAAGCGGGCAATGGCTTGTTACCTTTATTAATTAAAATTATTTTCAAATATTAAAGTAAATCATAAATTATAGTACAAGAAGACTTTAAAGAACTCTGAAGAACTTAAGGAAACTCAGATGGAGCTACACAAAATAGCATTGACTGTTCCCATGCCACTGTACATGCACAAGTATCACCATTTCCAATTTTTAAACTAAGTTAACTGTCTTCCAACAGATTCCTCCTGTACTCTTCACCCAAAAGATCTTCCATACCAGTTTTCAGCTTTACACAGAATATATTTAGACCTGTGGTTTTATCAGGGAATGCTCCTCACCTATGCTAGGAAGCCTCTCCCATGGTTCTGTAGTATACTCTACCCCACAGTGTACTAAAGCTGTTGTGATATATATCCAAGAGTCTTTTTATAATCTTAGTGCTCCCTTGAATTGTTCCTTGACTTTAAAAGACCAGCATTTGTTACTCCAGCTTGTATGATATTCTACCATTTCTGCAGTCAATTATTTAAATACCTGTTTGCATCATAGGTGGAAAAATATGGTTTAGTCTGTATATAGGTGCATACAAACATTCAAGAGAGAGTCTCCAAATGAAACAAAATATTTATTTCAGTGGAAGTTCAGTGCTTTTCCTCTGTACTTACTTATTCTGCATCATGTTCATTATAACCCAGTCTGAAGGATACACATTCTTCCCAATTAGATTTTTGAACATAATAAATGTCTCCATCAAGAAGTCCTAAAATAAAAAGGAACATATCTGTTAAAAAGCCAGTATTTCAGATATAAAATAATACCAGCTGGGTGAGGGAAAATTCAGTAACTTCTTGATCAGATTCAAAGCACAGATCTTGCTGGACAACTGAAGCAAAACTTCCATTATCTAATGATATTCATCTAATAGTAGGTATCTGATGACTTCTGACATTTATATACCTTAAAGACTGATTATGACAAACAGCATCATGTGGCAATTAACATTAATTATTATTCATAAATGGAGCACAGGATAAGGTATCAAAAATAAAGCCACTGAAAATTTGGATTCATAATAATCTGATACTCTGAAAATAATGTTCAAAATGAATGCCAGATAGTGTGAAATTGGGGTAGATTAGTAGTTTCTTTTTTTAATCTGTGTGGTGTTGTTTTTTTGTTAAGGTATTTAAAGTTATGTTCAACTTCCATGACTTTCTGAACCAGAAGATTTTGACTGGATTTTCCAGTCCAATCATTAAATCCAAGGAGTGGTTACTCTGCAGTAGCCAAACAGATTGATCTCACTTGTATCTTAAGGTGGGATCATTCTAGTAGCAAACAACACTATTTTGACATGAACAGAGTGACCTTGCAGGTTCGAAACTTATGTGGTTAACGTGAGTTGTTAGTGTTATGTAATGAATACATTTTCACTCTAGGCACATACTTAACAAGCTTAGTGAACGGGTTCTTACATTACATGATCAAACTTGATTACTGGTATGTTGTCCCCTACCCCCACATCATGGGGGGAAAGCAAAAAAAATTAAAAAAAATAAATCCTGATCAACCCTAATATTTTGCTGAGTGTAGCTTCCCTTTGCTTTACATGTATTTTCCCTTTTGCATAAAATAACTGGTTTCCTTCCAGATCTTGCTTCATAACTTAATAATTGAGACTTTACTGTGTCATAGGATTTATGCCCATGTGAGCAGGGTCAGAATCGGGCCTCTAGAATCACCTCTGAATATTTTATAGCAGTGGCAGAGCCACACTCTACTTTCTAGTTGTACTGCATGCTTCAGTTGTTGGGTTTTCACAAAGTTTACTAGAAAGTTGGCAGATAAATTTTCATACTGTTTGAAGATTGGCTAGCTTTCTTTAGTAGTCATGAAAGCAGAGGAATATATTATTGGTTTGAATTTGATCTATGCTTAAAATAGATAAATTATGCTCCACTATTCCCATAATTAGTATATCAGAAAAATATGGTTTATTCAAGAGGGCTTCTATACAAAGCTTACTTATTCTAAGTGGTAGTTTTTCAAGATGACACCTGCCCCCTGACTATCATTCTCTGCAACCCCAAAATGCCAACTGAACCACCTCTCTCCCTTCCCTTGTGCTTCCTGAAACAACTAGTGAGGGTAGAAAAAGTGAGAGGTAAGGGGGGGTACTACTCTGGTACATTCTAGCTTCTCTCTTCCCACCCTTTTTGCTTTTTTTTTTTGTAAGTAACTTTATTTATTTTTTGTTACACCTAAATAGCTATAAAAGATAAGAAAGGGGGAAAAAAGGGAAAAAAAATAACAAACCCCCGGGATACAGGACAGTAAATGAAAAACCCACACTATAACTAAAAGCCCAAGAAAGGAAGGTCTTAAACAGTTAGTAGTCAGTTAGTTATAAAACACATAGCTTTTTGTTTAAAACAATGAATTTAGGAGTTAGTGAGTCCAATTTTAGTAATAATCTGTTATCTTCTCGAAGTGTGCAAAGTCTCTTTTATCTTCTTCAGTATAACGCTTTGAGTTTTTGAGGGCTACTTGGGAACTCTCAGTCGCAGATCATATGTTTCCCTGGCCAAGCCTCCTTCTGCTC